GGGTTGTGAGATTTGATTTCATAGAAATAGACCTTAATTAAATGGTAGGCTACAGCTGCAGAAAGTTCAGTACAAAAGAGAAAACACAGGCTCTAGGACTTGTGGGCTGTTCTTGTCTTCAGTTCTGGTGGGTTATAGAAATAATGTAGCTAGCTTCTAAGGTAGAATAAAGGGTATAGATTTATATAAGTGATTTTGCTACAGTTTTGGTTTGTCTTTCATATTATATGTATTGTCATGATATTAATAGCTAAAACATTTAAAGGAATTAAAAAATCTCCTGGGTTCTAGACTGGTCTTTACTGCTTAGTAACAGGCAACCTTTAGCAGGTTACCTACTTTTTCTCTTCAGGTCCCTGATTCCTCACATATAAAATAAGAATTAAAATTATGTTTAACAGAGTAGTTGTGAGGATTGAACAGAAGTTATTTGTATTTAGCACAATGCCTGAAAATACATAAAACTGCTCATGAATTTCTTCTCATTTTTGGTTCCTAATAGAGCCTATATTGTGTTAAGTTTGCAAGGCACTATTAGTTTAATTTAATCAGTTCTGTAACTGTGATCTAAGGACATTTGTTTTTAACATTCGGTGTCCTACATGAGGGTGGATCTGAAAATGGAAGAATAGAAGCATTGATCCTCCAATATCTAATGATATCACATGGTTCCAGAGAAAAAACGTGGTTGGACTACTATTTAATACCTCTCAAAACCAAACCAATTAGAAATAATGGTTAGTTGGAAATAACATGTTTACACTTGTTAGTATAATGGAAATTATTTATTTATTTATTTGTTTTACTTTATTTATTCTAATTTATTATATATGACAGAAAAATGCAATTAAATTCATATTACATAAATAGAGCACCTAGGAATTAAACCAGAGACCCTGCACATAATAGAAGAAAAAGTAGGCCCAAATCTCTATCATGTTGGATTAGGCCCCAACTTCCTTAATAAGACACCTGTAGCACAAGAATTAAAATTTAGAATCAATAAATGGGATGAATTCAAACTGAAAAGCTTCTTCTCAGCAAAAGAAACAATGAGTGAAGTGAATAGAGAGTCTACACAATGGGAGCAAATTTTTACCACACGCACATCAGATAGAGCACTAATCTCTAGGGTATATAAAGAACTCAGAAATCTTAACACCAAAGAACTGAATAACTCAATCAATAAATGGGCCAAGGAACTGAACAGACACTTCTCAGAAGATGATACACAATTAATCAACAATATATGAAAAAAATGTTCAACATCTCTAACAATTAGGGAATGATTTTTTTATAGTTAACAAAATTTAAATACAACATAAATATTTGAGAGCTAAGAACCATTCAGGAAAAACACTAACATGTCCCAAAATAAAAATGGTAGCTTACAGCCAACTTTAGGTAAATTAAATAATGTCAAAAAAAAAAGAAAGCACAGTTTAGTTTTCTGTCATTGTCACCCATCTGAGAAGAGTTTAAGTTTTTCAAAAGTTAACTTTAGATCTTTAAAAAATTTTAATTCTTATTTTATTATGGTAAGAAAACTTAAAAAGATTCACTTAACAGATTTATAAGTGTACAACACAACATTGTTATTATAGGCACAATATTGCTCAGAAGATCTTTAGAACTTATTCATCTTATATAGTGAAACTTGTTGCACATTCAGCAGCAGTTCCTCACTACCTCACCTTCCAGCCCCTGGCAAACCAGTCTACATTCTGTTTCTGTCATTGTGACTATTTTAGGTATTTTATATAAGTGGAAGCATGCAGTATTTGTCCTTCTGTGACTGGTTTATTTCACTTAATATAATGTCCTCAGGTCCCATATTACAGTGTTTCCTCCTCTTCCTTTTTTTTTTCCTTTTTAAAATAAAGGCTAAATAATATTTCATTGTGGTTATATTTTCATTATTCATCTGTCAGTGGCCATTTAGGTTATTTTTACATCTTGGCTATTGTAGATCATGCAGCTGTGAACATGGGAGTATTCTATATCTCTTCAAGATATAGAATGTTTTAAATATTTTTTTTTTAAAAGATCTAAATTGAGGCTGGGGATATAGCTCAGTTGATAGAGTGCTTGCCTTACATGCATAGGCCCTGGGTTTAACCCCCAGCACCACAGGAAAAATAAATCTAAATTGCTTTGTTATCACAATCCAAATTATTTTAAGTAGAATGCTCCTTTATGTCAATGAGATATACTAATTGTAATTTGTTTTTTTTAAGTGGTCCCAATATCACCATTGTTTTTATCAATTATGTTTTCAGAGGCTCAGTCAGGTTTCAGCCCAGCTATTAGAGTTGCTATTGATTGATGGATTTTAACTTTTATTTTTAAGTTAAAAATATTATAGTCTTTAACAAAAAGCACTTGAGAATGCCATCAGAAATAGAAGTACATATGGAATGAGCTATTGATTGCCGATGGCTCTTTTGACATGATAATAATCTAATGTTAAAAGCTGAAATATTTTTATGATATACTATGAATGAGCTCATTGCTCTTCATCAGTATTATAATCATAACATCTTCAAAGTCTAGTTCAGATACCTCCTTCTCCATGAGGTCAACCTTCATCCTCAAAGCCATAAGTAACCCCTTCCTCCTTTAAATTCCAATAGCATGTGTATGCTTCTCTTTGTATTTTTAAGTTGAACCTTGAAATATAATTATTTCTTTTATATTCCCAAATAAATTTATAAATGCTTTAGGGCACAAACTGTTAAACATTCAGATAAACACAGCAGATTGTTGTTAATATTCAGTTATTGAAATCTACTTTATCCAAAGTACTATGCCTTACAATATGCAAACGTAAGTATTACACAGCTGTTGTCCTTCTCATTTTATTCCTCATGGTGCCTAGTCTCCTTTTCCCTTGTGTTCTGTGATGCTCCTTTATTTTCTTCCTACTTCTCTTGCCACTGCTTCACAGGTTGTCTCTTCTGACAGACTTCTGAATAATGAAAGTGTTCGGGCTTGTTTCTAAGATCTCTTCTTTTATAGTAATACTCTGAAATACCATCTCAATGTCAGTGAATCTTGATTTTATGTCTTTAGTTCAGATGTTTCTTCAAGTCTTACACATTCCACCGCCCCCCCCTTTTGGATGGGGGATACTAGGGACTGAACCCAGGGGCACTTAACCGCTGATCCATATTCTTAGTCCTATTTTCTTTTCTTTTTTTTTAATTTTGAGACAGGGTCCTTGCTAAATCACTGAGGCTGACTTAGAACTTGCAATCTTTCTACCTTAGCCTCCTAAGCTGCTGGATTACAGGCATGGGCCACTGTGCCCAGTTCCAATTGCCTTTGAAGTCTCTTCAGATTTGGTTCCACTCCAGGAAAGCACCTTTCATCCACTCAGTTGCCAAGCCAGAATCTTGAACATGATCTTTGATAACTCTTTTTCTGTCACCCACCACAACAAGTCCATTACCAAGTCCTATTGATTTCTGTCTCCTCTGGTTTTGTCTTTCTGTGGTTCTACCCAACACACCAACCCATAGTGCAGGTGTCGTGGCCCCTTTTGGCCCCTAGTCCAATCTCCACAGATGACATTTTAAAATACAGTGATCATTTAAAAATCATTAAGCAGACCATGCTTTAAAATCCCTCATTGTTCTTAGGATAAGATTTTGAAATATTCAACATGCTTCAAGTTATATATAATGAGGCCTTCTACAGTCTCATCTCATGCTACCCCTTCCTTCTATAATCCAGCAACTATAACATTCTTTAAATTCCAGAGATTTGCCGAGTCCTCTTCCCCACTAAGTGAACCCTGTTAACCTTCCCTCTCAACTTAAACATCATTTCCAGAACAGGCTTTATCCAATCCCTTGGATTTAGGTTCATTTCTTATGTATCTTGATGTATCTGAACTTTTCCAGCATAGCATCTCTAGTAATTTGTAATATTTATTTTGTTGTGCAATTATTAGCTTACTATCTGGCTCCTCCATGGTTCTATAAGGTCCCTGAGGGCAGGGACCATGTCTGCTTTGTTCATATGCCAAGCCCAGAACCTGACACATAGTGGAGAGTCAATAAATTTATGTATTGAGTGAAATAAATTGAAAATAAAAGTTCAAAACACATTAGAATACTTTGCAATAGAATGTGTTTACAACTTACAGCTATAAGTTAATATATGGTAATGAGTTTCTGACCCTTGTATGAAGACTTTTGTTCATAACTAAACTGGGCATGTGCTATTTTTCTAATTCATCAAATTTTAGTATTGTTATTGCCAAAGAATATATTTGACAACAGGAACTTTTTTTTTTTGTCAGTGTGACAGCAGTATTTATTGATTTCCCCTACTGTTTGCCTGGTGCTGTTTTAAATGCTTAAGATATAGCTGGTGTGATCCAGCTTACTTTCCCATGAAGGACAAAAAACAAATAAGTACACAAAAATTTTAGCTATTGAAAAATACTCTGAAATAAATAAGAGTGATGGCATGTCTACGATGGTTATTGAAATCCTAATGAAAAGGTAGTGTTTGAACTAAATTTGATGTGACAAGATGGAGTCAGCCATTAGAAGCCTGGGGCAGAGCCTTCTAGGCAGAGAGGATGGCACCCACAGGAGCACTGCTGGGGACATTTGAGAAACAGAGTGGCCAGTGGTTCCCAAATATAGGGAATGAAGGAAATGAAGGGAAGGGAATGCTAAAAGTTGGAGATCTTGTTGCTTAAAGTTCTGAGTCTGTCACTTATTGGCTCTGTACCACAAATCAAAGACCATTATAATACCTAGCCCATTGGAATGTTGCTTATTGATAATGACAGTGAAGCAGTAATTCTATACATCATTGACAATTCCTTCCATAGAATTTATGTGCAGGAAAAACTGGGAAAGTGAATGTTACTTAAAATAATGACCCTGTGTTTAATAGTTTACTAATTTATTATCTTTAAAAATAAATGTGCTATGTTGCTAATTATTTGTGAACATGAATATTTACATGGATTTCTCAAAAAGGTAAAAAAGCTGAAGAGAGAACTCTCACAAATGAAGCAAGAACTGCTCTATAAAGAACAAGGCTTTGAAACATTGCAACAGTGAGTATAAAAAATACTGAAATTGATTTTACAATAATTCAAACTCCCTAACTAATACAAAGAAAATAGAAGTAGAGATTACTTAAGAGATTTCTCAAGGAAACAAAGTAAAATGCTCAGAGCTCTGTACCAGAAATAAAAAAAAAAAAAAAAAACAATCAACTAACAACAAAAAACTTGGGAAAAATCTATACACTTTGAAAACATCTGAAGTTTTTATTAATCATTGGAGATACAAAAAACCAAAGTGAAACTTAACTTTGTCTCCTGGACCCCTGCCAGCCTCCAAGGTAAGAAAACAATCACTGAAAGTACCTTTTAATGTTCTGTACTAGGGACTGAACTGGGTGGGCTCTACTTGATTCCCTCTGAGCCTGCAGCTGCCCTGAATGCTCTTGGAGGCATCTCCATTCCTCTCTGTCAGTCCCACAGATGACTAGAGTCTAACCCTAATTGATAGCAAGGGAGCAAGAACAAGTTAGGTTTCTTCAAAGAGCTCAAAGTTGCTCATTTCCTGCTTCCTTCTGTCCTTTACATTTCAATTCTGAAATCTGATGGGCCTTCAGAACAGTTTTAGAATGGGTCAGATTAAAAGAAAATGTTGATAGGAAGGATAGCAAGTTCTAGAAATCCCCACCCCATTACCAGGCACGCCTGAGGTGGTCTGTCTCCCCTCTGCCCCATCCCAGCAGTCTCTCATGAAAGGAAAAATACCTGAAAGACATTGAGCTACTTTCCATGTCTCCCCTGCATGGCACAGGTTTGATGCCACCAGTTGTGGTACCATAGTTCTAGGTATTTTCCTGGTCAAGTTCATGTTCCAGCAGGTTTCATGTTCTTCCAGACATCTCCTTCAGCAGAACCTTGGGAATGCAAAGCTGCTGTCAGGAGCCATCTCTGTGGAAAGTACTCAGCTCTCTTCTTTTTGACTGAATTCCTATTCTGCTTTCTGCTTTTAGGAAATTTGGGACAGTCCAGGACAGTAAGGCATTACCCTCATCAAAAATCACATGTGTTACTAGCCAGACAAACAAATGCTGATTATTCTATATGTTTGTCGAGTTGTATCTTGGGATGCCCCATTACTACTCTTGGTCACCAGCTAGGCACATGACTTTAGTTTGAGAATTAGGTTTTATGGCTTTTGTTTGCCCACTTGCCTCATAAAGTCATGATACTGGTATTCATTCAGATGCTTCTGTTCTAGTGTTTCTCAGACCTGATTGCATATTAGAATAATTTGGGGATCTCTTAAGAAATACTTGTTTTTACCTCCACCCCAGGAATACTTTGTGAGATCTCAAAATATTAGTGGTTCTCTAGGATAGCCATGTTCTAGGTACCTCTGTTGGCTGCAGAGCTCCTCTAAAAACCCAGAAGACCTAGAATGACATAAATGTGTTATCTAGTAGTTGTGTATCAACATAAAGCAGGACTTTGTGGTACAGTGAGAAAACAAACTTTGAAGAATGCCACAAAATGTTTAGGTACATGTTAAACATTTTTAGGACATGAAATTATAACTCATGTCACCACTCAGGATTAAAGGTTAGCCAAACTTGCTGTTTTTGTTATATTGATATGACAATGCTGTATTGTTTCAAAGCAGTTTGCTTGCAAGCAATTTTTATAGGAATCTAAGGCATGTTTAAGAATCTGTCAATAACATTCCACAAGAAAACAATAGACATTTGTTGTAGAAAATCAGGCATTCTTTGGAATGAGTCTAATCCCTTGAACCAAGAGCAGAAAGATATGATATCTAACATCAGAGACCTCTCCTGTTGATGTTAACTATAGACATAATAAAGCTGTTTTCATTCAAATATTAACCACCATACTACTAAAACATTGAATGATAATTGATTGAACTGAGACTTGACTTTTTAAGAAACCACATTCCTGATACTTAGAAAGGGACTTTTTTGTGTGACTGTGACAGAAGATACATTTCAGGAAAAGATTTTCATTTTAGGCTTTTGTAATTTTTCACTTATTTACAACAAATGGAATATTTTTGCTAAATTTGGAATTAGAATGTAAACTTGAGCTTTCATTTTATTGTAACAATAGTTTTATGCTGGGTGAATAAATATTTGTTTTATTCTGCATGTTACTTATTCATTTTGTAGCCTCAAATTTGACTTAGGCAATGTAGCTTATGTGTAGAAAGATACCAGGAAGATGCATATATTTTGCTATCTACAGTGTGCATTCAGAATTCAAAAATGGGAAATGATGAAGCACTCAGCAAGCAAAAAGCATATATAGATTCTATAACAATTTGCCTCTGAGAGTATATTCATTTTCCAGAAAAGGCTTGGGAAGGAAACTCTCTTCTGTTGCAGAAAAGACTCAGATATAGGGTAAAAACTAATGCTTAAAAAAAAGTTTCTTCTCAAATTAAGAACAAAAGAGCATAGCATTTTGTGTTAAGATCCAGCAAAGGGCTAGGGTTGTAACTTAGTGGTAGAGTACTTGCCTAACTTGTATAAGATCATGGATTTAGCCCCCAGCACTGCAAAAGGAGAGGAAGAGGGGAAAAATAAAAAGGCCAACAAGCCGTGCTCATTTTATTTTACTTTATAGTCAGGTCAAAGAAAGAAAAGGTGGAAAATGAAAAGTAGAGGAGAAAAAAAAAAAGAAAAGCATGGAAATAAAGAGACATTTGAAGTAAAATAGAGAGGTTCAAAGGAGACAAAAGAAAGGGAGAGGAAGACCAAGGGCTCCATTGGGAATGCCAAATGAAATAGCTTATTCTTCACATTTACCAATCTGGAGCAGTTAGACAACCAAGAAATTTTCATCTTTTTAAGTATCTCAGAAATTTAAATTAGCACTCTGAACTAGTTCTGCTTTTATTCCTAAACTATAGTTTATTTCTACAAACAGCTAACCTGCTTTTATTTTCAAATGATGAAATTTATTTCTCAATTAAATATATTATCATATATTTGAATGATTTTATATAAGTAGGAAGAAATTACTTTGGCTTTGGAAATTCACCTTGATAGTTTCAGATAACTTGTATTTCTAACTTTTTCATGAAATCTCAAAGTTTCTGGGTTTTGTTTATTTTTAGTTTAAAAAGTACTGTGCTTGAAACTTTATTTTATTTAATATCTTTTGCCTCATCTAAGTTGATGGACATTAGTATACTTAGAGGAGCCAAAAATTTCACTGATACACCCCAACCCGAGTAAATTGAATTAACTAATATTTAAAATACTTTACCATTCCCATAAATATTCTAGATGTAATAATCATAAGAGCCTCAAGCTAGTGTTTGTCCTTTCAGGATAGCTGCCCTACAAGCTAAGTGTTTATTCAGTTTAGGGGTTAATTTACACAAATTTTCTGGTTTCAGTTTCTTCATTTGGCATGTGTGACAAGGGTATCTCTAGGGTCCCTTCCCACCCTAAACACCTTGTGTGAATTTGTTAAATTCTGTAACTTCATTTATTATATTTTATTATGAAATGACTTCATGATCAAGTTTATTTTATTAGATTTTTAAAGACTTCAATTGCTTGTTCAGTATCATAAAATATTTACTAAAATAGGAGTTAGAGAAATATGCTATCTATAAACTGCCTTTGTTTGAATAAACTTTGTTTGGCAGAGTAATTAAGATGAGGGTTTTTTTTTCAGATTATACTGTTCACATTGAAAATACATATTAATGATGAAATATTCTAAACCAAATGGGCCCAGAATCCATTTTCTCTGATTTAGTAGGTGCTGTTTTTCTGGAGAGTCCATGAGTAAATTCAGGAGTATGTTTTTGAGAACATGTATAGTATACCTGATGGCTAATGGGGTAAAGGCCTAGACCCACAAATAAAACTCAAGTTGTATTTTTAACAAATCCAGGACAGCATTGTAGCTGGGGCGGAACCAGAAGGATGGTCATAAAGAGAATGTTCAACTATTCTTGATGAGAACTGGGTACTTTGGTTGTGCCCTTCAAACACAAAAAATTAGGTTACATGAAATCCTCTAGCCCAGGATGATGATCATGTAGACTGTAAGACACTTGGTAAGCAGATCTGCAGGCATAACAAATTAGCTCATTAAAGAGCTGTTTATTCAATACGAGTTGACAAATGAACATATCTACCCTTCTGTTTTATTCCTAAATTTGAATTCATTCAGCAAAGCAAACAGTTTTTGCTAAAAATAGAATAGATACTTTTTATGTAAATCCAAGTATTACAGGATACTCACTAGTATAAATAAGTATTTATTAAAGGCCTTCCACACTGCTGACACTGTGCTAGGTTTCATATAGATATTATGATATGTAATTTAGGTGGCTATTTATTGGTGTTTCTATCTTCTGCTATGCCACATACCTCTGTCCTTTACCCTCAGGGTGGAGGTCAGGATCAGTGTTTGATGAGGATAGGGTTTAGCTAGCAGTGGGATCATCCAAACAGACTACAAATAAAAATACATGCATTGTTTGAGCCCCTAAATACTTAGAAATGGACTAGATATGAGGTGGGGGATGGGAGAAATCTTAATTGAACATGATTAAAAGGAATGGAGGAGACACAATCAACTTGAAAAGATGGTTCCATTGTATCAGAGTCCTGAAGTAAAATTGCTAGCTAACCAAGATCATCCAAAACTAGCTCCTACTGTTCATTTAACATGTACCATGTCATGTGAATTTTTTCTTTTCTTTGTATTCCTTTCCCCCCCTCCCTTTTAACAGAATCGATAAAAAAATGTCTGGAGGCCAAAGTGGGTATGAACTTAGTGAAGCCAAAGCCATTCTAACTGAACTGAAATCTATCAGAAAGGCAATTAGCTCAGGAGAAAAAGAAAAACAAGATCTGATGCAGGTATGTTATACCAATTTAAGTCAATCTGTACCTTCTAAGTAATTCTGCAAGGCAGAGTCTGGATGACCATCCATCACCTCCATCCCATTTGTACTGAATGGGGGCCCTGTGGGAGGTTTTGCAGACTCTGAGGCAGCCTAGTTGCTGTGGAGGAGAACAGGTTGTTTCTAAACTTCTTATATGCTTAATTGAAGTCAGGTCCTGAATATCCTTGAGACAGTGGGTGGTGGAACCCAGAGCTCATTTAAGAAAATTAGCACCCTGAAACTCACTAAAAATTTCATGTGAGACCCAAATGAGCAAAATTCTCTGAACCAATGATCCTTAGTCCGGATACATAGGGTATGTCACCTGTCATGCCTTTTGAGGTGAGGCTGTGTGAGTAGCTTAGAATAACTTCTTTTTAACCCAGGGTTCAGTGGGGGATATTGTTCCATCTAGGGGATACCAATATAGTTACCCTAGGAAAGCTGCTATTGGTAGAAAATCCTTTTGTTGTTTCTGTATAGTAGAAAACTCATTGTGTAGAAAAAAGAAAACAGTCATTCAGTGATCAATATTCTAAGTGCTTACTAGGTATGGTCAAGTTTTTTTCTAAGGATGTCTCTCTTCCTCCTCTTCTTTTCCCTCCATCCCATAATTATCACAAACACTAAGAACTTTTAGAGTTCTTCATCTAACCAAGAAAGAATTTAGTCTGTGTCTTTCGAAAAATGTTAAGAGTCAGTGGTAGTATTTGCATTCTTTACAGAACCTCTCTATTTAAATACTACAGTCAACATCATTTTGGTTTTCAAAGTGTTAGTGGAATATATATAAATATTCTTGGATCCCTATGATTTTGCATTTCAGGAATTTTGAAATAACTTGCAAGAGATCTAATAAAAAAGATAATGGTGATAATGACAAATACTTAAAAATACTGTATATTTTATATACAGTATATATATATATATATCCTGTATATCCTTCTAATTGCCTTGCATGTAAATAATTTACTTAATCTTTACAACAACTCCTGAAGATATCATTATCCTCAGCTTATAGACAAGGAAATTGGAGCACAGAAAAATAAGTTATTTAAAGTCATATAACTGGTAAGTAGCAGGACTGGAGTTCTGAGCAGTATTGCCCAGAATATGTGATTTCAAAACACATATAATATACAAGACTTGACTTGTTTATATTTTGTTTTTGTTCCATAATTATGCTACTGATTAAATTAGTAGCTTTGGCAATATGTACCGTGGTTCCTTTTTTAAAAAGAAGTTAATGGAGCTTGAAGAAATTTACATTGGAACCTTACAACTGAACAATTTTAGGTCATCTTTGAATTTTTTTTCTGTCAACTTTGAATTCATAGACCAGATTAAATAAAAGGATTAAATTCTTTTCAATTGCTTAAGAATATAAAATAATTTATTAGTAGATACAGAGATCAACAATAGAGCTGAAAAGGATATTAGATATCTTCTGTGACTTTCAAATTCTCTGAGTACAGTAAGAAATATGTTTTACATCAAAACCTAATGACATACAAGGGAGTGTACCTATCGCTACAGACATGTTCACACTTAAAACAAATTTCACAGAAATATGCCTGCTCTCAGTACTGGTGATATACTCTGATTTTATTTTCTATTATCTTTTGTTTTGACTAAAAATCTTTATTCACACCCTAGTGATTGTGACTATGTTGATTGAGTGTACTGTTATTACAGATAAGATTGAAAAACACTAATGTTTTCAGTTTACAGATAGAAAAATAGGAAAGACTTGCCCAAGATGAAAAGTTTCTTTGTTCTTTTCTCTAATGTATTATTTGATGGGTCCATGTAAGTTCTATTCCTCTTAAATATACATTTTATATAAATATCCCTTGGAAAGCAAATTGAAAAAGTTAGGAACCAGATCTCTGGTATTTCTATCCTTATGAAAATTTTTATATCAGGATTAAATGCTGGCTCTTAAAGTTGATAATAGTGGTTTCTAACCATTTTTTATTAGTGTTGCTGTAGGTTTTTAGAAAAGCAAATTAAGTAATATTTTTCTTTTTAGTACTTTTACTTGTATATATCCTCCCTCTAAAGTAAACCCAGTATGTTAGAACTGAGTGAGTGCCAATAGCAGGCACATTCACTTTTGATTATTCACTTTAGTAAACCAACCTTTACCACCATGGACAGTGTCATGAGTGGACACGTAGATGGACTCAGCTTAGGGCTGGGCCACTCCTTAGCAACTTTGAGGCCTCAGTTTTCTAATTTCTAACATTAATGTAAGCTGAATAATCTCTTGAGTCCTTTCCAGATGTAAAATGACATAATTGTAGAAGTCTTCTAAGACAGAAGTTATCTTAATATACCTAAAATGAAAGATTGTATTGAAAATATTTTGTTTCCATGATTTCTGTTACTTAGAGTGAGTGATTATGTATAAGTTTGTTTACTATTGCTGTAAGCAACTGGGTACTTTATAAGGAAAAAAGACTTATTTAGCTCGCAGTTTCGAGCTGAAAATCCAAGATTATATGGCCCCATCAAGTAAAGGCCTCATTGCAGGAGGACCTGATGTCAGGAAGAAGAGATCATCTAACAAGATCAGGAATCAGATTCAGGGAGCAGACATTATCCTTTTCCAATCCATCCTTTTGGGGACTAACAAGGGTACCTCAAGAACTATATTAATCTCTTATAAAGATGATGGGGCTAGGGTTGTGGCTTAGCAATAGAGAACTTGCCTAGCCAAATGCAAGGTGCTGGGTTTGATTCTCAGCATCACATAAAATAAAGGTATTATATGTGTCCAACTACAACTAAACAACAACAACAACAACAAAACATTTAAATAAATAGATGATACTCCCAGTGACTAAATACTTTGCACTGGCCCCACCTCTTAAAGGTTCCTCTGCTTCTGAACATTGTCCCACTGAGGCCCGCGCTTCTAGTATATGAGCTTTTGGCGGGCACACTGAAACCATATCCAAATGATAGCAAGTTCCTATTGAAATTAAGACTTCTAAATAAAGTTTAAACATAGAAATGCATTTGTTAGATGTAGAGATACTATTATTCACAGGAAAATGCTGTCATAGGAAAAGTGAGACAATTTGTTTGGTATCTATTCACGTATTTCCAAAGTGGGGTGGGTGTGTGTGAGAGCAAAATTATATTTTAATCTTATTTTTAAAATAATAAAAAGTGGTTAAAGGACCGAAAATAAAGTAATTTTTTTTCTTTCCACTGACATTAGCTCTTTCCATTTAATTTTACCTGGTGAGGAATGGTTGCCTTCTTACATGTTAAGCTTTATGAAATACTTTGTGTTTCTTGGACAGAGTCTTGCTAAGCTGCAGGAGCGGTTTCATTTGGATCAGAACATTGGCAGATCTGAGCCAGATTTGAGATCAAGTCCTATGAATTCTCATTTATCTCTCTCCAGACAGACCCTTGATGCCGGGTCACAAACAAGCATTTCTGGAGATGTAAGTTACCCGTGTCGTTGGTTGTCCCAGTGTCATTCTTGATGGACCTTAATAACAAGTATAGATGGTGAATTGGAGCAGGAGCTAGACATGTGGTTTACATTCCAACTGAGTACATTCAGTATTTCATTCATCTAAGATTGGTTTTAAAAATTGCTGTCTTTTCTCTCAAGGTGTCAAGCATATCAAGATTTGCTCATATGGGTAGCTTTGTTCAAACTTTTTCGGACTATATTTCTTTAGTGACACTGTTGAAAGCCTAGAGATACATGAAAATTGAACTTTTTCCTAGTAAATTTGGAGACTTGAAAATTTAGGTCATTTCAAATGAACATTAAGGTCAATGAAAAATAGAACTATATACCTTGAAAACTTGGTTTTATAAATTAGAAGTTGATTACCTTAAAGTATTTAATATATGATTTATAGCTGACTTTGGAAATGTTTAATGTGACTTGAATATTATTATATTATTAACTACTTTGCATTTTCACTTTTATAATGCCATTAATAGGTATTTACTTTTCTATAAATCGCCAGTTATTTTTGTATTCTCTTATACTTCTTTAAAGTATGTGCTATGAAAGTTAAATAAGTAGATATCAACAGTAGGACTTAACCCGTTTAAAAATTAATTTTTGAGGTTATTTAGTTTGTATTTTTTATAGTTTAAAGCTAAATGATGGAAATTTTGGCTCATAAAGGAAAAGAAATCAGTTCCAGTTCATAAATTTTATTGACTCATATACTTTCATAAACTCTTAAGATACCAGACACATTTACCTGACTTTTTTGTCTTGAATTTAATGTGTGGAGAAAGTGAATGTGAAAGTCTTTGAAAAACAAACAGGCTTGAATTGAAAGAAATGTTTGCCCCTACTGAGAATATAAAGTAAGTACCTTTTTAAACTGGTGCTTTCCCATTTTGGTACCATTTTCTGGAGCTTTTCAATTATTTGTACTTCCTAAGAACAAAAGCAGTTTTCTTCATTCATTAGCAGAGTTAATTGACTTTTTTCTTTTTGTTTTACTAGATTGGAGTGAGAAGTAGATCAAATTTAGCTGAAAAGGTCAGGCTAAGCCTACAGTATGAAGAAGCCAAAAGAAGGTAAGGATGGGGAGCAAATTTTTTTTTATGGTTGATGGGCCCAAACATCATTTTATTTTCCAGAATTAATCTTTAATCTTTACTCCTATGGTGACATCTGCTGGGTACTCCCCACACACTCTTGCCAGGGTTATATCCTTAGTTATTTGCGTCTTAAGGGTTGCTTTCCCTCTCCTCTCTCTCCTCCCTATCCCCCTTCCCTCATAGGTGAAGAATAAGGAGAATTAATGAAAAGTGTGGGAGGAAAATTGTCCCCTTCTCTTCTGGAAAAAGAAGCTTTAAACTTCTTTAAGACTTTGGATTGAAAGTGAGAAGTTTGGCTCCTGGGTTGGAAACATGATACAGTGGCTTAGGCACAATATTTGACAGATGCTGAGGAGATCTGAGGTGGACACTTTTGAGCATGGTCCTCTGCTTTGAAGGGAAACCTTACTGCTAATGTCGTTGAAGGTGCTGAGGTGTTTGTTCCAGCTGATTTATGTCAGAGAGAAGGAGGAGATACTCTTATTTCTCTCCTCTACCTTATAAACTCTTAATAACTCCTGTGCTTTCTTTTTCTTACTTTTGTGACTCTTCTGGGATGAGATGCAGAGGAGACCTCACTGTCCTTATCTAGTAGAGAGTCAAATGTTTAAAAAATATAGCATACCTTATTTGTTTGGAGGGAGATCATACTGAGTTGATTTCATATTTTCCTTTTAAGAGCTTAAAAATGCTATTGGCTTATTATTTAGGAGACATTGGGAAAAGCTGCATTGTTACCATGCAGGAGACAAAGTAATTCATCATGTTCCTTCCATGGGCATGAAAAACTCCACTGAGAACCTGCTAGGGTATCATGGTTTCCTACCATGAGGAAAACCCATCTGATATTGAAGTATGCCCACAATTACTGATGATGATGAAAATTTTAAAGTAATTGACCATAGTTCTTACAGGTTATCTGGATTTAAATAGGTAAAATAAGTGCAATAATTAGTTTACTTTCTGTAACCTGTGTTTCTGATATCACTTGGTTTGTCAGTTTGCTGAAAAGAAACCTAAGCTTCATTCTCCAATTATTAACCATGGGAGCTTGAGCAAATCACCAAGTCCTTCTGAATAGCAGTTTACTTAGCTAACGTTAATTCCTTTACATTTTCCTCAGTAAAGTTTAAATGTCTTGAAGGTAAGAAAAAATGTTATACTTTATTACCTCCTTCTCAGGGTCTAGACTAGGGCCTTGGCATCAGTAAGCATTCGGAAAGCTGATTTGCAGTTGGGGCCTATGGTGGATGCTGCCATGGTCCTCTTGCTGTGTGCAGGTCAGCCCTTTAGCCTGCAGAACTCTTTGGTTCTGATGTGAACAAAGCCCAGAAAGTGTGTGGTTTTCTGAAGGAGAATGGCTATAACTCAAAACTAATCTTGGAGAACAAGTCCTTATCCCCGTGGGTTCTTACAGGCTTGACTCTGCTTCCTTTGGATCAGCTTGGGCTATTTTTTTTTTACTATGACTGCTAATAATTAATTCCATCTGGAGCTTACACAGCACTTCTCTTCTCAGGTGCTCCTGGAAGTCTTCTTCATATTCCATTCCCCAGATTTGGTACATACTCTCTAAAATAAAATGGGAGATCTCCCTAATGTCTGATCATGTTATAAATAGGAACCTTTCCTTACTCCCTCACATTGTTGCTCCCAGCTCAATTAGTTAATCCAGTCACATCAAACCTTATTAGTTCTTTACCATTTGGTTGCATTGCTGTACTATCTGGGGTCTTGTTTTGAAGTTACTAGTGGTGGTGATGAGAATGTATCTCTCAAGTGTTTATGCATATGTTGAAAATGCATTTTCCTCCTCAATTCTGAATAAGTAAAGAGATGGGTTATTTTTTCTCTGAAACCTGTTTTTCTCCTGCAGCCTTTGTTTTATGTGCTTAATGAAGCTAATAACATCATGCTTATTTAGCATTTTGATGGTTAATTTTCCAGTATGTTGAGACAGTTGTTTATGGTTTTGTGATTAAAGCTGAAGAATAGCTGGTGGTACATCTATCATAAGTGCAGACGGTGGGTGAAATCAGAAATACACTACATCTGAAGTAGCAGTCTCAGAATGCAATTTTATTTCTAACTAAAACAAGAAACTTATGGCACAAAGATGTGGATTTATTTTCATCTTTGTTCTTGATTATGTTTTTTTGTTATTTTTTTTTCATTCCTTTTACAATTTTTTGCATTGAAAAAGGAAAAAAAATCTCCTTTTTCTGTTTTCCATACTCTGGTGTGAATGTCTGAAGCAATCATCCAACCTTTTTTTTTTTTTTTTTTTTTAAACAGTCACAGATTCCTTGTGCAAACCTCAGTTGTATTCATAGTTTACCTGGATCTTAGACTTTGGGGGCAGAAGAGCCATGTTGCTATTCTAATCTTGTAAAAAGTCCTGATTGTTTTCACATGCTGCAGAGCAAATATTCAATTCAGGTTGTCAAGACATTCATATTGAAAATGAATTGTTAACTTCATCATTAATTGGGGAGCTCTGGGCACAGTGAGCTTTGAAATTACTCAGTTTGTTTTTGGTGCTTTTTGTTCTCTCCCCACATTCCTGTTTCCCTCACTTCAGCACCTTTTGACACTCCAGTGGTGCTATACCAGCTTCCTGTGCTGGTGAAGGTCCACTGTGTACTCCTGAACAGGCAAATAAATGTACAGAGGAACTTAAATCCAATGCAGTAGTGGATATAAGGTGCTGGTGCAGTGCTTGCTCAATAAATGGTACATACACCAGTCAGAGCCCTACAGAGAGGAGACTTCACAGCAGGAAGCTTAAGGACAATGTGGGCCTGCTCCCTTAACCTTGGGGGGAGACTTGATGGAACTGACTTTGTTCTAAAATGAGTCAGCCAAACTACTGTTCTCTTTTCTCCACCCTTTCCCTGACCTGCTAATAACCTTAGTATTCGCCAACCTGTTCTGGGGGTTACCATTTTACTGGAAAAGATGCTGTAGACAGTATTGCTACCCAGAGGAACAAAAATCTACAAAAATGGCATTTGGGGCATCATTGCAGTGCCAACCTCAGTTTTGTTTTGTTTTTAAAGGGAAGCCTCCAGGTTCCTCTCCTGTCACACCACACACACACATACAAACATCAGGACAGCCTGCCCTTGGCCCCCAGAGTACTTTCCTTTTGAAGTGTCTGTGTACTTGTCTTTCATGCTGTTGTCAGATAGGGAGATGTGCTCACTCACATCATAAAGATGGGGGATGAAGCAGAGGACAGCTGAGTGTGAAGTCAGGCCTAAGCCTGGAGTACAGAGCTGCTGCCTGCTTTCTGGTAAGCTCCAGTTGGGAAGGTCTAGATGGCAGTTCCACCCCAGACTTAGCTGGTTGTGTTTGCCTTTCTCAGGAGTCCTAAACATGTGCATGTTTCTTCTCTTTATTTTAGTATGGCCAACTTAAAAATTGAACTGTCAAAGTTGGACAGTGAGGCTTGGCCTGGGACGCTAGATATTGAGAAGGAGAAGTTGATGCTAATTAATGAAAAAGAAGAACTTTTGAAGGAACTGCAGTTCGTCACTCCGCAAAAACGCACACAAGATGAATTGGAACATCTGGAAGCTGAAAGGCAGAGACTTGAAGAAGAGCTGCTGTCCGTGCGGGGTGCACCGAGCCGGGCTCTGGCTGAGAGGTGTGTTTTCCTACTGAGAAGAGGGCAACTACAACGTGACTGAATCTTAACTGATGACATTTTCCCTGGGTTTGGAAATCTCAGTTTTATCTGTTCTTATTGGACAGAGAATGGTACAATAGAACTTACTTTCTGTAGAGCGATAAAGCACACCCACCTGATGCCCCTCAGCATCCATTACTCTACATCTGTTAGGACTGAAAATGCCTGTGACTGATGTTGAGTAACTAAGGAATGTTGACATAAAACCATGAATATAGTCCATCACTGACTGAGTCTGATAATGGTAGCTGTAAACTATTGCACTCTGATAAGAAAGATGATCTAGATTGTTACAGTGACTGAAGCTTCCTATTCTAGGTTTTATTACTTATAAGAATGCAAAATTTTATTGCCTTTAATTTCACAAGGAAAAGAAGAGACAGTTTACTCCCTTTGGTATCCTAATAGTTTACAAAATATTGCTTGGATTTTGCTTGTAAGTTGAAACCCTCCTCTGAAACAGCTGAAATATAATGGAAAATATTCTAAGAAGTTTTCTAATCTTTCTATGGGAAAGTGTGAGTTGATTATTTAATCTAAAAACTCAGTTCTATTAATAGTAGTAAGTGAGAGAACCTATGTATATCTGTTTTATATGAACACATCTGTGTCAGAGCCCTATGTCTGGCCTTGCTGGCTGCTGTGGTGGGACCCCTGTTTCAGAATAGACTCTGTAACCTTTCAAAACCACTGTATATGCATCCTTTAGGCCACCAAGTAAGGAACAGTGCCTCACAATAACAGGAATGACATTCACATTGGTATTATCTCAAGTTACCTGCATATAAGTTTAAAATACACAGCCATAATCCAATTTTTTTTTTCCACATCCATACTGGGAACTGAACCCATGGTACTCTACCACTCAGCTACATATCCAGCCCTTTTTATTTTGTATTTTGAGACAAAGTCTCGCTAAGTTGCCCAGGCTGGCCCCGAACTTGTGATCCTCCTGCCTCAGCCTCCTGTGTTTCTGGGATTACAGATATGCACCACTGCACCTGGTGGTAGCAGCAGCTCTTTCTCCTCCTCCTTCCCCTCCTCTGTCTTCTCCTCCTCTTCCTCCTCCTCTTCCCTCCTTCTTCCTCTGCCAGTCCAAGTTTAACTGTTCAGGAGATTTGACTTTTGTGAATTAAAATGTTGATCAAGGTAATATGTGGCTATAGCATTTTAGCTTTAGGGTTCATGAACAAGTATCAAGAGGAAAAACTAATGCAGACTGTATTCTTTTACTCACTTAAATAATTCTCCTCATTGCTCCCATTTCCCTTCTTTTCTTCCTTGCTTGCTCTGACTTGTATCTTATGGGGCTGACTGACAGTGAGATCAGTCTAAGGTAGGTATGAGGAAGGCTGGCTAAATTAGGATTCATCTGACAAAGACCAACAGAAACAAAGAGTAATGATGAGAAGGCAAGGCTGAATTAAATTGTTTTTACTGAATTACCCTTGTCTATGTATTTGTATACCTTAAATTTCTAATATAAAAGTTTAATAGTCTTCAGTAAATACATTGAAATTAGTAGCTTTTGTGTGGTCCTTGTGAAAGCACCAGTGATGTTTGGTGTATTATGTAATACTTAATAAATGTTATCTACAATCATTCCTCCATATCCATGGAGGATTAGTTTCAGGAGTCCTTCCCCCATGCCAAAATGTGTGCTTACTCAAGTCCCTCATTCACCTATGCACATCTGCCCATATACTTTGAATCATTTCTAGGTTACTTATAGTACGTAATACAACACAAACACTATGTAAATAGTTGTTATACCATATTGTTTTAGGAATAAAATAGACAAAAATAATCAGTACCTGTTTAGTACAAATGCAGGGTTTTTTCCCCCCTCTGAATACTTTTGGTCAGCTATTGGTTGAATCTGAATATGGAACTTAGGGACATGGAGAGCTGAATCTTACAGGGCTAATGTGCAGTGTCCATCCTGGCTGTTTGTAGTAGATGAATCTGGGAAGGTTCTACAGGTTTGTACTAAAAGGGAGAGAAACACATGTGCTTATTTGTTTTAATCAGTATTTACAGGTATGGTGTCTGGCTTGTCTTTTTTATTAGGGAGAGACAAAAATGGTTAGTGAAGTAACATTGAAGATATGTTTTTTCCCTTGGTACCAAAACTTTTACTTTCATACTTGTGTTTGCACACACTATCCAAATTCCAGTAGCAGCAATGGGCTAGAATTCATCAAATGGAGAATGTATAAAATACTTCTATAAAATAATAATCTATTTAGTCTTATCCAGCCTTGGGCTTTTGTCCAATGGGGCATAAGCAGTATAGATAGTCCTCCCAATCTATGATACCTACATAGACTTGTCTCCCATTTTTGCTTGTTAGCGGGAAAGAAAATGGATACATTTTGCATTGGTAATATGTTGACTTTTTGAGTCATTTGTAAGTCAAGTAGTTCAGTATTCCAAATAAATGAATACTAATTTCCTTTCTAGTGTCTGTGGCCAAAGGCAAATACCATAATTATGTTTCAGTAAAAGGTTGAAGGACTCTTACTTGCTTATTTTATCAACTTAAAATTTTCTCACAGCCACTGTTGGTTGTTCAAGGTTCAGTGTTGCACATGTACCAAAAAACAGGATGTTGCGGTGAGCTCTGAGTCCTTTATTTCTCAAATAGACACAGTATAGTAGGGGTCTTGGGTGGTCTTCTTGTTGTTCATTGTTTTACTTTATTCCCTCATACTCTGCCACTTTTTCTTATACTTTACCTTTTTTTTATTTGTTTCTTCCTACCACATGTATTTATTTCTTCTCTGCTTTTTGCCGCTGTTGAGCCGAAAACTGGGACCTAATAAGGTAAAAGAATACCTTTGCAAGCAGTGTATTTCTTCAGCTACTAATGGGAAATAAAATTCTATTTTACTCTGTGAAATTTAGTTTCATCATAGAACAAATTGTGCTCCTCCAGTACTAAATCACTGAATTTCTTCTTGGTACCTTCACAACTACCAATGAAAGCTACTTGCTGCAATGACCCAAATTTTCCTATTTTCTATTTATGTTGTGGGTCCTTCATTATTTCATCAGTGACCTCAGGCAAGATTCTGAGTCATTAATGGGTTGTAGACTATGAAGGAGCTAAACTCACATGAATTTTCAGACATTGTGTATAATCTTAGGGTTTCCTATGCCTGTTCCTGCCCCTACTCTACAGCAGTGTCACCTACTCAATCTTTCAACAGTGACTGAGCTCGCCACCTAGTGGTGGTAATGTGCATTAGGAAAAGTGAGAGCTGCTCTTTTGAGAAGTTGCTTGAGGTCTTTCTGTACGTGGCTTCCTATTTTCACAATACAGTTATTGACGTTATTTAAACTCTGATTTTCTATAGTTAATAAGAAAAGTCCTAACATTGCTCCTTATTTTCTCACAAATTTTGGGGGCTTCGCCTTATAATTGCCAAGATGTCTTAATCATTTTCTAATTATTTGAATGTTTTTATCAATGCTTCTGAAAAAATTTTAAAGCAAGTAAAGGGCATGGGTGCCACTTATTTTCAATGGAAAAGGAACTGCTTTTTTTCCTGTGGAAATGAAATGTTCCCTAAGTGGAAAGTTCTGAGTTTAGGAGAGACCTGGTGGAGTCTCTGTCTCAGGCACTAAGACAGAAGGAGAGTGTGAAGACCCTATACTTTGCAAAGGTCAGTGGAAAGGAGAGTGGAAAGGAGAGAGTGGAACAGGAGGGCCAAGGGGAAAATCTCTTAGGGGCCAGGGTAAAAAGACCCTTTCTCACGTAGGAAAAGGCAGATTCGGAGAAAAATTTGGGGACATGGATATTCTCTTTAGAAGGCAGTTGCCAGCTATTCAGAGGAAGTTAAGGAAGTCATCTCCTATGAAAGACACCTGAAATCTGAGGAAGACTTCTGGCTGCCATCAGGAGAGTCTTGGTGTTTATATCAGAGGCAGAGACAGCTGCCCCACTAGAAGGTTTCTCTGACTCTTGTCAGTGCCTTCATTATGCTAATGCCAGTAAAGAGCCTAGGTAGGAAAGAAAGAGCTCTGTCTGCCTTTTAGGAAGTTAGTATTATATTGGGGAACATTCAAATATGAACATAGAAGGTGTGTGCCAGTAATTCAGAGTCAAACTAAAAGACCTAGGAGAGCAGTTCCTAGACATGACCTAGAAGAGGGCAGAGGATGGGCCATCTCTGGTGAATAGGAAAGAAAAAGCTTTGTATTTAAAACTTTAGGATGAATCAGACATTTCAGGATTAAATTCTAATGTGATGCTGATGTGTCCTTAAAATAGGAAAAGCCTCATTTTAATAAAAGTAATAGTTTTAAAACTTCAAAGTTTCTCTTACTTCTGAAGACATGGAGTTTAGAAATGTTTGGGCTTTCTCCAGATCTTTGTGTACCTTCTAATTCAGTTAATCTTCTTGGTGTTAATGTTTTTTTCCTTGTTGAGCTATTATTTATATTTGTGAGATTAAAAAAATAAAGACTATCTTATTTTTTAAAATGAACTTATGAAAGCTGTGAATTAAGAATTTATCACGCCTTGAAGTATTAAATAAAATGGCAAGAATTACTTTTTTATTTTAACATGTAATGAAATTGTGTTATTGACACATCAAAGGGATAGATACCTATAAATAAAATATGAATATATTTTCTTACTATTCAAGACATACATAATATTTCAAAGAGGTTGGAAATGAGGGAAATTTTCTTTTTCTCCAGACAAAAATAGCTAATTTTTATATCACCACCTTGCAGGGCATGCTGAGGCTTTGTACAAGTCTGATTTGTTTTTATCATCTGTAGAACACTTTGACATACATTACTCCATTTGATCCCTTTAACTGCCTTATCAGGTAGACACAGGAGGATTATAATCACCATTTTACAGATGAGAAAGGTGAGACCCTTGATTCAATGACTAGCCAAAGGATCCAACCCTAGTAAGCAGCAAATCCAGGCTGGGAACCACAGTGTGTTTTTTCTGATTCTCATTTTGTAGCTCACTTGTCTGCACTGAACTGGCTTATTTCTAAGACGATATCTAAAAACCCTCAGATAACACAGACTTTACTTGTGCAGTTCTCAGTTGCATAAGACCCAGGGTACTTAATATGTCTTTAAAAAGTGAGTTATTTTTCAAGATACAATTCTGTAATATTCTAATTAAAAAAAATACTTTTGCAGTTGGATGTGAATAATATTTTGTGATAACATGGTACAGATGATGAGATATGATGTCACTAGAAAAGGAAGTCACTTTGAGGTCTTCTTGCTTTTAAGCAGCCCAAATTAGTCCACGCAGCAAAAGAGACTAATTTCTTTCTTAATTGTTAAACAATTCTCATCAAATTAAGACTCGAATTTTCATCATCAAATATAATTTTGGAATAATCCTTGCTAAAATCAGTATTTAGGATGGCTTTTTATAATTCTTTATTATTTTACTGACAAATGTGTTAGTAATGTGAAGTCAAATTATAGACAAATTTCCTCCTCACTGTTCTTCCCCAACTCATAGGGCTATATTATTTACCCACTTAAGAAAATTTTACATTTTTTTCTCAGTAGCATTGGCAATTGGGCATAAATCTCCCCTATCTTCAGCAACTTAGCAAGGCTGTAAGCAATTTAGCAAGATAGTATCTCAAAATAAAAATTAAAAAGGCCTGGGGATGTGGCTCAGTGGTTAAGCACCCTAGGTTCAATCCCCAGTACAAAGAAAAGAAAAAAAATCTCCCACATCATCTAGTGAGGCTATGTACAGCATCCTGTTTTTTCTCTGTCAAGTTCATTCAGATTTCCCCCTCTTGATAGGTAATATTTGTGTAATAAGAAACTTTGTGTTTTTTTCACATTTCATCATAATCATTTGAAGATCAATTAATTTTTATAATTTTTTTCTAGATTGAAATTGGAAGAGAGAAGAAAAGAACTGCTACAGAAACTTGAAGAAACTACTAAATTAACTACTTACTTGCATTCACAACTTAAAAGGTAAGCCCATTAGATCCTCAAGGGGAAATTTTTTCTCTATCTTTCAGACACATTCTGGTTCATCCTTGGTTAGTTTATACTTTATTTTCAGCTATTTAAATGTAAGTAGGTACACGAGTAAAATTAATGTGTGAGTAACCAAATTTAAAGTTATAGATTTTTTTCATGAATCCCAAGGTCATATTTGGTATACATTTGAAATATGTTGTAAGAAGAAGATTTTAGCCCTCAATGAAAACTTAGGAAAATGGAACATTTCTCCTATTATCTCATCTTTTAAAAAATGAGGGTAGGAGAGATTTACCTTAAAATTGCCATAGATTTTCTTATATTGGTTAGAAAAATACTCACTTTTATATTCACCCACAGAAAATGGGAAAGGCAAATGAACCCAGGGGCTTGCTTTTTTTTTAAACCCTAAGCATCATCACTAGCCCTTTTTATTTTTTATTTTGTGAAGTGGTCTTACTATATTGTGTGTTGCTGGGGCTTGCTTCAAACTTGTGATCCTCCTGCCTCAGTCTCCAAAAGCCATTGGGATTACAGGAGTGTGCCACCAAGCCCGGCCCAGAGACCTTATGTGTAAGCACTCAAGTTTATAAGTTTGCCTTTTTTTCTCTAAAAATAAGGTTTAAAAAACCTAACAACATAGCCATATTAATACTTTGTCCTGGTCATCCCTGCCACCCCCCTTATATTTTAACTATAAATAATTAATTATAATTATTTAATTATAATTATATTTTAAGGATTGCTTCTGTATAGCTATGCAAGGAGAATTCCAAGAAACTATTTGGCATATTTTTTAACTTTTATAAAATGAGGATAATTTTTTCTAAGATAGAATTGTTGCTTAAAGAGTATTTGGAGAGCAAGTTAGAAATTATTAGTGAATAATCAGGGAAATGCTATGATGGCATATCCCTTGGCCCTGGTCATATATTCCGTTCTTTGGCACCACCTATTTCCTTCCAGTTTGGGATCTGAAGTCACCAGTAGGGGTTATGATTGGTTTTTCCACATAGTGACAGATTTTACAGTGTGCTTTTCTTCTTTTAGCCTCTCTGCCAGCACGTTGTCCATGTCATCTGGGAGCAGCCTGGGTTCCTTGGCATCCAGTCGGGGCTCGCTGAACACCTCCAGCAGAGGGTCTCTCAACTCCCTCAGTTCCAGTGAGCTCTACTTCAGCAGTCAGGGTGATCAGATAGATGTGGATTATCAGTATAAACTGGACTTCCTTCTCCAAGAGAAGAGTGGTTACATTCCTTCTGGACCTATCACTACCATCCATGAAAACGAGGTGGCCAAGTCCCCCAGTCAGCCTGGCCCAAGTGGACTCTGTGGGGTGGCAGCTGCAGCAGCTGGCCACACTCCCACCCTGACTGAGGACCCCAAGTCTGTGACATCCCTGTCTTCAAGGTCCTCCCTTTCTTCCTTGTCGCCTCCTGGCTCTCCTTTGGTCTTGGAAGGCACGTTTCCCATGTCTTCTCATGACTCCTCTCTTCATCAGTTCACTGCTGACTTTGAAGACTGTGAATTGAGTAGCCATTTTGAAGACATTAGCCTTGGTGAAAATCCCATACTGCTGGATTCAGATTCAGTAGGAGCATCCCAGTCTCTTTTAGAGGACAAAGACCTTAATGACTGTGCTGGGGAGCCATTATATGAAGGAACTACAGGTAAATGGAAACCTTTGTTTTTACGCATTCCCTCTAAAGGATTTTAAGGACATTGAGTTGGAAGGTTACTTTTCCCACATAGACAAATGGTATAGTCTCCCCTTTTTTTCTCCTAAATATTTATTTCAGCTTTATTTAAGAAGGAACCTTTACTTATATACCCAGACCTTTTCTTTGTCAAATTGCCTTCTCTATTTAATAGATTTAATCATTAGGTACTTGTTTTGTGGTCCAGAGACTCTCTATGTGTGGTACCTGGCTAGACCTTATTTTGTAAACATACTCTATGCTTCTAAACAGATGCCAGTTCTAAAATACTAAAGCAAAGAAGAGGGCTTTCTTCTAAATTTTGGCCTAAAACAGATTAAAATCAAGTCAATTAGCATACAAGCTAATTAGTACAAAGGTTCACTGTTTAGATTGCTCAGGGAATTCTATATAAATACAATTTTATTTTATGCCAGACTCTCCCTTTCTGCTGAAAGTTAATTTGAAGTAGTAGTCTCCAGTATATGGTATTACCCTGCCATCTTCTGGCTGTTGTGACAGTTGCAGCCCGAGGAAGAGGCTGTAAGAAGTAAACTCCTGCCTGTGTGTTCAAAGAGACCAACAAGAAGAATCTCATTTTATTGATTGTTTTGCTCTATGTGACAGAAATATTTAATATGTTAGGTACAGTTAGTGCCTTTGTTGGCACATGATCTCTAATGTGATCCAAAAAGGGTAATCTGTTCTAGAGCTAGCTTGAGGCAAAATGGGAAATCAAAGCTCTGGTCCTTCTCTATGGGCATCCTGGTCAGACTCATGTGAGTTGCTGTGCCCCATCACACAGAAGAGGACAGGCCTCTAAACCAACTGCTTTCGTGCTGTTTTGAGAAGCATTTTTATTTATGTATATGGTCCTGGTAGTTCTGAGTACTAATTGATTGGATAGTTCACATGTTTAAAGACTAGATTGAAATGCTGTGTCCTGCCAGCAGCCTGGGCAGAGGTGGAACATTCTTGTGGTTTGTGTGCCTCCTCTTAGAGAGACATCAGACAAGTAACGTTATAGAAATAATCAGCCACAAAGGAAAACAAGAACAGGTGTGATGTGTGCATAGTGGTTCCACAAAAGCAGAAAGCCACCATGGGCCTCGCCCTGCCTCTGAAGGTGTACAGTGGATGGCGGGTTGCGTTCTGTCCCATGCCTTTACTCACACTTTGAATGTATTTTCATGAGCATGTTACCTTGTCTCTCAGGTCTGTTCCTCATCTGCAAAGTCGGGATGATACGGTTATACTTGTAGCATTGAAGAAGATTAATGCCGTGATGTGTGGAAAACACCCTAGCACGTCTTATAATCGTGTGATAGTGATAAGTAACATAGTGCCCACCAAACCAGTTCCTACCACGTGTCATTGCAAGTTAAGGGAGGAAGAAAGAATGGGGAAAGAGTAGAGAGCCAGCATTCTGTTCCATTCTTCTTGCTTTATACTTTCAGCATCTTGCATGTCTTTAGCATCTCAAGCTTCTTTGTCCTTCATGTATTTGGAGTATTCTCTAGTGACCACTTATCATCATCTCATCAAGTGGAGGGCCCTGTATGTGGAGTTGAATGCTGGAAAAGAGGAAGGCTTGGGAAAAATTCCCCCCACCTAGTGATCTCGAGGTTCCAGGCACCAGTCCTGGAAGCATCTCTGCTTGGCTGGTGCCTTGCTCTTGGCCCTTGTGTCTGCAACTGTGACTATCAGTGGGCCTGTGGCTGGCAATGGGTGTCTGTGATAATTTTTAAATTTTTTGAATGTTGAAAAGTGTTTTTTGATATAAGGGGAGTAAACAAGGACAGGGTAGGGACGAAGAGCTTGAGAAGAAGATTTACATTAAACAGGGATGAGAGGTGGGAGGGAAAGGGAGTGAGAATGATATATAAGAGGAAAGGAGGGGTAAGACAAGATAATACAAATGGAAGAAATGATTTACAGTAGAGGGGGTAGAGAGAGAAAAGGGGAGGGGAGGGGAGGGGAGGGGGGATAGTAGAGAATAGGACTGACAGCAGAATACATCAGACACTAGAAAAGCAATATGTCAATCAATGGAAGGGTAACTGATGTGATACAGCAATCTGTATACGGGGTAAAGTTGGGAGTTCATAACCCACTTGAATCAAACTGTGAAAGATGATGTATTAAGAACTGTGTAATGTTTTTTTTACGACCAACAATAAAAAAAAAAAAAAGTCATCATAGAGCCGGGTACAGTGACTCATGCCTGTAATCCCAGTGGCTTGGGAGGCTGAATCAGGAGGATCACAATTCAAAGCCAGCCTCAGAAAAGTGAGGTGCTAAGCAATTTAGTGAGACCCTACCTGTAAATAAAATACAAAAATAGGCCTGGGGATGTGACTTAGTGGTCAAGTGCCCCTGAGTTCAATCCCTGGTACCACCCCCTGCCCACTCCCACCCCGCCCCCGCCCAAAGTCACCATAGGGTAAGGATATAGCTCAGTGGCAGAGTGCTTGCCCAGCATGTGCAAGGTCCTAGTTTTGATCCCCAGAACCATTAAAAAAGTCACCCTGAAAAAAACTACACCCAGGACCTTTGTAGATAACATTCAGTTTCATGCCCGAAAACAACTAAAAGAATATGTATAAGTGTAAAGACTGATTCTCTTAAGGTCATCAGTGCTTGGTCTATTCAGAGGACATCTACTCTTCCCTTGAGGGAGTGTGACTTCCTGAAAGGGACACTGATTATTTCCTATGCTCTGGAGTTTTAAGTCAAGTCCCTTTTATGTAAACTTTGCTCCCCAGCACCAATCCCTGCTGGATGACAGAAACCAAGTTGGAATGACTATGAAGTCTTTCCACAGTCAGTCTCTGTCATTGTCAAAGTCAATTTCAGGCTGCTGTGGTTATTCCTGGGGGTAATCAATAAATCATGTCATCACCTTCACCCCTCACAAAGGGGGGTGGGCGGAGAGAAGGCACTTCATCATCAAGGAAAGAGCATTCCCACTGCCAGAAATAAAAGGGGAAATGCAGCAATCAATCCTGTAATCTGAAGCCTTAAAACTTAAACATCTTAACAAGATGTAAAGTCACGACTCAGAAGGGGGCCGAAATGCATACCAATACAGATCCGCTGGCTTGCTCACTCGAGGATGAAAGAACTCTGCAGGCTTGCAGCTTATTACAGTACAGAACACAGCTTTAAATGAATGTTCCTTGCTCACTGCAGGACGCTGCTGTATGAATATGAGTTAGAGATAAAAGTTAAGTGGTAGTTGGTGCTGAAGATTTAGTAGCACAAAAAGTTTTTTTAATGGTATTAGCTGGTGAGGAATTCCTGTAAGTCAAAGATGTCTTCTCCTTAATTTCTGTTAGAATAGTACCATAGGAGACAGAGAATATGGCATGTGTAGAGGAGAGAGCAAAGAGGTAGAAACGTTTCTTTCCACTGAGTAGTCAGAAGCTCTCCAAATAGAAATATCTCCCAATATTTGAGGGAGGCACAGAGCTTCTTATCCTAAGCATATTATAATTGTGAATGCTTGAAGAAAGAGGTTGGAGAGTCAGAATATGTGCATCCCTTGCTTTAAAATATTTTAGGAAAAAAAAAAGACCATATTCATTTCCAAATAACAACTGAAGGAACTAGTGTTGCAGAAATCTCATGAGTCACAGTGCTTTGACTTGTCCACATCTGTTGATTTGAAGAGTAACATCCTTGACTCTCAGAAGGATATTATATGTTGGCTTTATCATGCTCAAACTTCGTGTGTATTTGATATTTGATTTTTCCTAATAAGAAATCCTAATTTTCTAATAAGAAATTTCCCCTCCTTAGATATGGAAAAATCATTACCAAAAAGAAGAGTAATTCACTTGCCTGGGGAGAAAACTGCTTGTGTGTCGGCTGCTGTATCTGATGAGTCTGTGGCTGGAGACAGTGGGGTCTACGAAGCCTCCATGAAACAGTAAGGACCCCGCAGGCGTGTTTTCTGGCTTCTCCACGTCTCCTCTGTAGCAGAGCCTGTGTTTTCCAAATTGCAAGTATGCTGCCACTATTAGTGCACCCTTCAGAATAGTAAAGAAATAGTGTGCCTGCCAGGCCTGGTGGTGCACACCTGTAATCCCTGTGGCTCAGGAGGCTGAGGCAGGAGGATTACAAGTTTGAGACCAACCTAGCAACTTAACAAGGCCCTAAGGACTTAGTAAGACCCTGACTCAAAATAAAACATAAAAAGGAGTCTGGGGTTGTTTCTCAGTAGTAAAAGAAGTAGTGTACCTGAAAATTCCCAATGTATCAGAAACATCCCTTCAGCCTCAGAAATGATAAGCAGATTAGTGTACTTATATGTACTTGACCTTCTATAAGACCTAAAAAGTTTATTTTAGTAGGAATGTAATTCACATGTCAAAATGCCTGTTTGACATGTGAAGCTTGTGTGAATTTCTGAAAACCTGGGATTTTTATGGGGGGTATGGTGTAGCTAGTAGGGCTCAGAAAAGTGAGATATCAGTACATCTGTTCCCTAAGTTCCCAGGCAGACTCTTCTTGAAGAGGTAAAGAAAGCTTCTGAAACAGTAAGCTGGGATCAGTTCCCCTGGGGAGTTATCACTGTTTGGTTTTCATTCAAAATAATTGAGTGGCAAACAGCAACCATAACAATCAACCTCCCCCAATAATTGACTGCTCACCTCCCATCCTTAGGCCTAGTGAAATCGAAGATGTTCCATTCAGTGAAGAGGATGTTGCCACTGTGGAGACAGCCCAGGTGCAGATAGGACTCAGGTAAAACTGTGTACACAGGGGAAGGGCAGTTCTAGAAGTCTATGCAAGGACTGATAGTCTGCGGTTACTCTTTATTTCATTCAGCTTCTCTTTCGACAGATATGATGCAAAAAGTTCAAGTTTCATGGTGATTATAGCACAACTCCGAAATCTTCATGCCTTCTTGATACCTCATACTTCGAAGGTGTAAGTAAAGTCAGTGAAAAACAAACTGAGAAGCTTAAGAATTTCTACATTTTGATCATTTTACATTGTAATCAATCAGTTCATCAAAAGGAAGATATGGAAAAGACATAGCAAGACTGGTCATGTCTAAATCAACAGTAGGCAAATGTGAAGAGAAAAGGAAAATGTGAGAAAAGCAAATGGAGTTTGGGTCTTTATTCAACCAATTCCTCATTGAGAATAGAAATCAATACTTCATATTTTCTTTTTTGAGCAGAAATCCTGTGTTATTTGTGTTGGGGCATGGTTGTTTGAAATATAATTAAAAATGTTATTATTATCTAATAGTTATTATTGGTTTGAAGGAATTTTCTGATCTTTTATGTGAAAATTTAGTGATCAAATTTTATTATCCTAGTACAACATTGCCCCTCACATATTTATCATGCTGTATCATCCAACATTCACTTCATTTTTATTTCACATTCTTTTGTTTTCAAATATATATTTCTTTAGTTGTAGTTGCACATAATACCTTTAGTTATATGTGGTTCGGAGGATCGAACTCAGGGCCTCACACATGCTAGGCGAGTGTTCTACCACTGAGCCCCAGCCCCAGCCCTTCACATTCATTTTTTATCATCCAACATTCACTTCCCTCTGACCAACAATTTCTTAAAGTTATTTCATCAAACTAAGAATCTTAACAAAGTGATGGCATAATGTTGTCTAGCCCACTACTTTGGGACTGTTTTCTAACAGGTTTTTCTGGCAGTCTCTGCCACCATTCACACTTTTATAGAGTCACAGTCTCAGTGACTCTCTTAAGGGCTCTCTGATTTAGAATACAGAGCATGTATGTCTACCTTACCTTTAAACTTCTTGTAGGAGGTGACTTTTAGTATTGAACAAAGCAGTACAAGGGCTTGGAGAAAACAAAAAAGGCTATTGGAGAAAATTTTTAAAAAGATTATACCCAGCCAATGAATGTTTTCCTTAATAATAGCACATATTCCTTAATGAGCAGGATTTTTAACAGAGTAAATGTAAGAGTTCTGGATGTTTTCCCTACAGGTTTCGTTTTAGGCTCACATCCTCATATTTAAGAATTGCTAAAGAAAACAAATTGTATGCAAGAAAAAAAAAAGAGCTAGGTTGAGGTTATTTAGTAGACAACAAAAAATAGAATGAGAGGTTATGTTGACAATCATCAAAGCTGCATAGGATTCAGGAGGGGAGGCTCAGGACTTCCTGAAATCAAGGAATAGGGGACCAACATCATTAACAAGATCAACCAAGAGAGACAGCATAATCTAGCACTGGTGACATAGATTACCACGTGGGCCTGTTGTCCAGGCCTGAGGTTAAAAGTATCAGGTGGCTATTTTCAGTGAAGACTGGCTTGATAATTTTGGCTTCTCCCTTCTAATATGTGTGTTTCATATCTTGGGGTGTGCAATTGGTGGCCTTTAGGCAGAAGACAGTTCTACCAGAGTTGTGCTTCAAACAGCACCAATTCACAAATACAGAAGAAAAGTACAGAATGTCCATGAATATGTACTGTCTTTAAACTTACATTGTTTACATCTACCCACATGTTCTAGCTCTTCTAGACCAATCACGGTCATTCTCACCTTGGAGGATAGTCAAAAAGTGCTTTCTAGATGTGTGATGTCCCAGAGCCAGTCACTGAGGGCATTAGTAGTATTCATCCAACTGGTGAGAGTATAGAAGGTACCTTTGTCTTATTAGTCTGAGCTTTCCTCAGATACATAGCAGCGTTATCTTAAACCCATATATAAAAAGCTTGGCCTAAATAACGACACTGCTAAAAATGACAGTTAGTTTGAAATATTCTTAAATGTTCTTTTTCTCCCAACTTCAGAGCTTAATTTTTTATTGTTAATTATGACAAGAATTTTTGCTTTGGTGTGTTGCCCCAGTGTTTCCATGAGTCAGTCATGATTTGCCAGGCTGTGGTTTGGCAAGACCTTTCCTACAGCAGAGCTGGGAGAAAACCACCTCTGCCTGCTTTCTCCATGCCTTGATGTCCAAACTACATAAAATCATTCTTGTTTGATGTGAAAACATTTTGAGATGAGTTAAGTGGTTAGGCCATTGACGCAGAAAACTTGAAGACTGGAGAAACAGAAAAATCCCTTCCCTCCATTCTGACTATTTAATATACTGGCCTCTTATTGTTTTTCTATGAAGGCAGAGAAAAAAATATTGTTTCTGCTGAAACTCCAACCTTCCAAGAAGGATGAGTTGTGTCTTAGGCCTTAAATCAACAGCAGTGGCCCAAGACTCACAAGGTGTTTAATGCTGAATCTTCATAATAAATGTTGGTATAAAATAAAAAATAATATATCACTCTTCAGTTCTGCATTTGAACTTACAATTTTTTTAATTAGAGAAAGGCATGTTTTAGAATATGAATTAGACATGACTAGAAATGGGGAGAGGAGAAGATTTAGTAGATATTCTCTTTCTGGGATTAAAAGGAAAATATCTCTTGCTATTTCCAATAATTGTGAACCCTGTGCTCAGAAAATTCACTCTAAAGTAGCATTAGAAATTACTGTTTTTCTATAACTCTTCCTTTGAATCTGCAGCTTTGGAGATGCTAGACATTGATATTTTTGAACTGCTGTTTCATCTGTTTCAAATTTTATTAACAATATGCTACTTTGCCTCTCTTTTTGTCTAGTAGGATAATGTATTCCATTCATGGGGAGTCATCATCAGCATCTCTTTTTTAACACTCAGGATGAGGATTATTTGGGATAAAGTCACCAGTATCTACTTAGGGTATTCCCACCTTCCCAGACATAGAAATAACTTATTTTGGAATTGGCTGTACCTGGGGAAGATGGGATATTAAATTCATCTGCACTCTAAGGCTTTCTTCCTCTTCGATTTCCTATCATGTGCCTTTGTTGCAGTCCTGTGGTGAGTGGCAGGCTGGCCCTTTGCATGCTCAGGGGTATAGTTAGCACATGGGTTAAGAATAGAGTGTCTTTGCATCTGATCATAGACCCATTATGGCAGCAGCACTTTTGGTTGATAATGAACTCCATATTCCCTCAATTTCTCTGTTTTGCAGATAATTGCAAATGATAGCTGTGAATCCACTGTAATCAAAGTACCTATGAATTTTATTTTATTCTTGTTCTTTGCAGGTATTTTAGGGTTGCTCTTCTTCCCTCCTCAACTGATGTCAGCTGTCTATTTCGAACAAAAGTCCATCCACCCACAGAATCTGTGCTGTTCAATGATGTGTTCAGAGTAGCCATTTCCCAAACAGCTTTGCAGCAGAAGACGTTAAGAGTTGATCTTTGCTCTGTCAGTAAACACCACAGGGAAGAATGCTTGGTAGGATTCTTAATAATTACCATTATCAACTAACACAACCAGATATTCTTAGAATATGCTTTCTAGTTGCTGTTCTGCCAGCAACTAGACTAAATGACTGTAGACCTGTCTAACACCTCGGGACACGTCTAGTGGCTGTTTCTTTTTTTTTTTTTTTTCCCCTGAAGTATTGATTTTTGTTCTTACCTTTATTTTAGACCTTTAAAATCTGTTTATCAGTTATGACAAACTTTTCATTTCTACTTTGACTAAACAAAAACTTATACCTCTTTTATGACCAGAACTTACTGTGTATGCTTTTAGTCCCATTGCCAAGTCCTGTGCTGAATACCCTGTGTGTTATCTCCTTTAATCCCTATGACAGTCTTAGGAAAGATGGATTATAGAAGGTGTGATCATCTCCTATTTTCAGATAAAGAGCTGCTTAGAGAGGGTTTCACACCTAGTGAATGATGGAACCAGATATCAAAGAGAGCCCACACATAATTCACTGTTACAAATTCAATAAGCAAGACACTGAAAATATATTCAGCTCAGTTTCCCCTGCCATGATATTAGAGCTTCTAAAGAAAAAGTGTAACTGTTTAGAACAAAATGTTTAAATGCTATAGCAAAAGATTCCATACTTAACTAATAGTAAGTTTAATATATTGCTGTGCACAAAACCTGTAAAACCATCACTTACTGGTAAGGCTGGTGTTTAGAGGTGGGCCTGTGTGGTCAAAAACTATGAAAATGTCCAGCTGAGCTTTTCTCTGTGGTATAATAGGAAGCACACACATTTCATGATGAACAAAGCTAATTGTGATAATCTTTTTACTTGAAAAAAAATGTTTGATACTATTTTCTGGCAATAAAGCAAAGATGGATGTGTTAGGCTATCAGAAAGGCCTTGGTATAATGTCATATTTATATATGTCAGAAGCTCTATTAAGTTAATAAACATGTGAAAGGGGATAGCCTTTTAAAAAATAATATAGTTGGATTTACATTATGGCTATTTGTGATTTGGTAGAATATGAAAACCTTTAACCTTTACTGTTTTGGGGTTTTTTTGCTTTGTTTTTTGACATTCTGCCAACTTATATATCCAAAGAAATTTTTTTTTACTGATTTCTCATTAAAGAACCAACATGGAACTTTTGCTTGTTTTCAGACTTTTCAGTGGATAATTTTATTGTGAGTAATAATGAATTCACTCTTATAGTGTATTATAAGAAGTACCATGGGTTAGACTTATTTATTTATTTATAACTTTTCATTTGCACAGAATTCCGTATTTACAAAAATTACATACTTAGTCATTAGGTGTTAGCAAAATCATGTCTCAAAATATAATCCTAGGATTGGCTTTTTAGATTAGAGATTATAATCATAAATCATTTCCAGGTTTTTTTCAAAACCCAACACTTCATGAGTATTGCTTTAAAAAAAACAAAAAAGAAGACAGGCTCACCCAATGATCTTTATCATGTTAGAGAAAACATATACTAATTTAGCATTTTATTTTCTCTCTCTCTCTGTCTCTCTTTTTTCCTTTGTTTTCTTTCATTTCCCATAGGCTGGAACTCAGATCAGCCTGGCTGACTTACCATTTTCTAATGAGATTTTCACTCTGTGGTATAATTTGCTTCCTTCCAAGCAAATGCCTTGCAAAAAGAATGAAGAAGAAAATGAGGACTCTGTATTTCAATCAAACCAGCCATTAGTAGATTCAATAGACTTGGTAAGTCAAAATTAGAGAAAAGTCATTAAATGTAATAAAGTAATGTGAAATATGCAAGGAGACCAGCAGGTTTTTATCCACTCTCATGGTCCTTCCTTTTTTCCTTTCAGGATTCTTTTATCCCAACTTCCTAAAAAGAAAGAAAAATGATCACATCTCCTCCATAAAAATAAACTGATGTGGAGGCTTTATTGTTTTAAATGATTGTGGAAAACCTCTGGATTTAAGTTTGTGCTTTTGTATATAGTATTCACATACTTGGTTCCACTGTCAGCTTATACATTTGACACTCATATATTTTGCGAATTTTAAATTATTAATCTAAAACAGTATGTTAATTTTCCATTTATAATATCAATATCCCTAAGTATTTTTCTATCAAAAGATTTATTGAAACTAATAGTCATATCTTACTGCTTCAAAAATTTATGAAGGGGTATTTTTTGAGGCCATTCATCAATTATCTGGCATTTGTGCATATTGCTACTGAGTTCAAATTTATTTTAGGTTACCTACAAAGAAAGAATTCACTAAGTAAAAATCAAATAAGCAAGTATTTACTGATCATCTACTATGTGTGAGAAACTAGTGGACATTGTGGTAGGTGGTAAAAGAGAAACAAACATGGTGTAGATTTTATATTACATGCCCAGGTTTGTAGTATACACTAAGTAAGGCATATGAAATGATTTTTATCTTCTTTCTGTAAGTTTTTAAAAACAGAATAAGGTATAATTCATATATTATACGATTCACCCAATTAACGTGTACAATTCACCCACTTAAAGCACAAGGCTTAATGTATTTTTCACTATATTCACAGAGTTGTACAACCATATCTACAATCTAATATTACTACATTGTCATCATATCAAACAGAAGTTCCATACCCATGAGCAGTCACTCCCAGTTCTCCTGAACACCTTTCTCCCAAATAACCATGAATATTCTTTCTCTATAAATTTTCTTATTCATTTATTATTATACATGAAATAATACCTTATTTGTTCTTATAACTGACTTCTTTTGTTTAGCATATTTTCAAAGTACATATGTTAATATTTTATTCCTTTTCACCCCCAAATAATATTCTGTTGCAAATGTACCATGATTTGTTTACCATTCATTGGCTGATATGCATTTGGGTTGTTTACACTTTTTGACTATTATGAACGATGCTGCTAGGAACATTCATACACAAGTGTTTGTGTGGACATATGTTTTTCTTTCTCTTGGGCATACATGTGGAAATGGAATTGCCTTCTTGGATATTATACAATATGTTTTAACATTTTGGGTGACTGCAAGCTGTTTTCTTGGTAGAATGACTTATTTATCTATTTAGTATTGAGTTATATAAGTTCTGTACATATTCTTTCTTCCTTTTGTCCTTTCCTGTCCTTTCCTTTCCTGTCCTTTCCTTTCCTTTCCTGTCCT